CTCTCTCTCTCTTCTCTCTCCTCGTCTCTCTCTCTCCTCTCGCTCTCTCTATCTCTCTCCTCTCTCTCTCTCTCTCTCTCTCTCTCTCCTCTCTCTCTCCTCCCTGCGTAAGTCGATAAAATTTATTTATTCATAGTTAATTTTACTGATAGTTACGAGTATAGCGCTGACATCCACTCAGTAGTCTACCCAACTCCCAACAATGCGTCACAGACGGCTGCCGGTCGACCTGCCCCACCCCTTTCCTCCTGTCTGGACTGTGTTCCGCCCAGGCTCCGGGAAGCACTGATGAGCCTGTGTGTCGCTCCGTCTGACCCGCCGTCTGCGACAGGTCTTCGGTGAACCGGCCGCCGTCGGGCCCGCCCGGCGAGAAGGTGCACTTCGTCCGGTTCGAGATCAGCTCCGAGGAGGAGAGCGGGGAGGAGAGTGAGAAGGAGGAGGAGGAGAGTGAGGAGGAGCCCCCTCCGCCCCCGCCGCCGCCGGCCGCCCCCCGCCCAACCCCCGGCCGTCCAGCCATGCCCGTCGAGGCCGATCCGGTGCCCTGGCGCAAGCCCAAGCTGAAAAAGGTGGAGCGCAAGGGGTCGGTGACGCAGGCGCCGCCGTCCGAGCCGCCGGCGCGGCCGCCCTGGGCCGATGACGCCAAGCGCCGGCTGGGCGATGTGCCGGTGACGCCCCAGAAGCCGGCGGCCAACAGCAGGTCAGTGACGTCATCACGTAAACAGCCGCCAAACGCCACAGACGCGCAGCTCTAAGGGCTGCTGCAGGGGAGGATTTGAGTTTGGACATGCCTAGTAGTGATCGGGTCGGCGAGGTCCGGATACTTGTTTTCTAGTTTCAGCAATGATTTAGGCTCCTTCACTGAGCACCTAAGATCCGGCCTCACCAGAGTAAAAGGGGAACTTGAGTCAGCCGATAATGATAAACACCACAGCTGTTTCACGTCTTTCAAAGAGCCTTATTTACACGATACTAAATACGTGTCATTCGCACGTCATATTCTCGCTTTGTTTTACGCCGCTCTCGAGTCACATTTTCACGAGCTGTTACACCTCGTTCTCACGCCGTTCCATATCCTTCTCACCGGCGAGAGCAGCGCCAAGCCGCAGTGGGCTTCGAAGCCGGTCGACGTCGACAAGCTGGAGGAACTGGAGCGGAAGCACCAGGAGAGGATACCGGCCACACCCGCCCAGCCCGAGTGGACCGTGAAAAAGATGGACGCCACCAAATTGGGCCGCCTCGAGCGGCAGAACCGGCTGGACAAGATGGCGAGCTTCGACAAATCGGCACCCGACTGGGCAGATAAACGAAAATCACTCGGTCAGTGAGGGATAGAGAGGGGGATGGGGATAGGGGAGAGGGATGGAGAGAGGAGATGAGCCGGAGGAGAGGGAACATAGGAGCCAGCAAGAAAGAAAAACGGTAGATGATCGGTCATAAAATAAAGGGAATGAAATCATCATCCATGTGTCGTAACGACATGAGTGGATACCGAAAAGTTCAGGTATTCGCTGTTATACCTAATAGCTGGGCTACTAAAATATTAAGTATTTTACCGAATAGCTGGACTACTGAAAGCCCAGCTATTCGATTTGTAAATGACGTCCGTTTATTTTCGTATGTTTCGAGTTTCGAGGCTTCGCTTGCTTCAGAATGTTAGATGATCTGATTACTGTCAGCTATCGTACATATATGCGAGTTGAGATTGCTTTAGGAAAGGTCTGTCACTTTCCTAACATCTACTTACTAACATCTCCAGACTTCAGCAAGCTGCAGGAACTGGAAGCGAAGGCGAAGGCCGAGCAGGCTGCGGAACAGAAGCCGGCGCCATGGACAGAAACGGTCCAGCTGGTGCCGCCCCCGCCCCCGCCCCCGCCCCCGCCCCCGCCGCCGCCACCGGCAGGGGCTCCGCCGCCCCCGCCGCCTCTACCAGGTGAGGGTCAACGCTCCAAGTGATAGTAGTTCGATTGCAGTGATGCATTAGAGTTTGACAAAACATGCATAATAATGCATAATATTCAAGAGCCTGATAAGGTATAGACCATATTTTAGAATAAAACATGTCGTTGGACTCGATCTATATGCAAATAATGGACACATCAACGGTGTCTGCGAGTCTCGATTAGGGCGACAATGCTTAGGTCGTCTGTCAACTTTCCTGGTCCAATTTATCTCTAACCTCGGCTGTCAGCTCGCCCGTCACCTAATTTGTCTCTCCCGCAGGCAAGCAGCCGATGACTGCCGCTCAGAAGGAGCGCCTGGAGAAGCTGAAGAAGACGCCACGCCGCCGACCCGACTGGAGCACCATGATGAAGGAAATTAGCCAGCCGAAATCCCTGAAGAAAGTCCAGTGTAACGATCGCAGCGCTCCAATCGTCAAAAACCTCAAACGGAAAGATAACGAGGTGAGCAAATAGGAACAGGATTTTGACGACAGATATGTGCTGATGGATATCAAATGTTGAACTGGAAAATGTTGAACTTGGTCGTCAAATGAGAGCTTTTGATGTGTTATATATGGTATGGTAATCAATTTAAACGGTATACGAGCAGTGATACTGTTGTGTTGTAGCTGCGTAATGTAATGGTATCTCCTCCAGCTCCGTGATGCGTGTCTGTCTTTCCATTTCAGTTCGTATTTGAATCAGAAAAGGAAGCATCAGCAACGGCAAAGCTGCTTAGTGAGATTAGACAGGGCGTCAAATTGAAAAAGGTGAAGACCAAGGATCGGAGCAAGCCAATGCTAGAAGGTAGGAGGCTTCAGATAGCATTAGGATAAAATAAAGCTGATTTTCTGACGCCGCTATGAAAGGTTTATGAACATTGCGAGTAAATTTGGACAAGTTGAACTCAATTATTGCACTCACTGTAAAGCTGCGACACCTGCCGTGATGTACAGTTGTGTGATACACCACCAGTCCACCACTCAGCTAAATCAGTAGGCGGAACTATGGTCAAGCGTACCCATTTTCGGGAACGCATTTTCGTTCCCATGTTTGGGAACGATAAACCCAAATATGGGAACGCCATGTAGGAATTATTTAAAACAAGAAAAAGAACCGTTAAATGACGTCCAAAAAATATTAAACGATCGTGAACCGCCTGATATTTGTCTCAATATTGTTGGGAAAGAGTTTGATATTGTAAGGCCCATCGTAGTTTCAAATTGTTCCCCTATTTCTAAAGCAGTCCATCATCCGGGCCGCGAGCCCAAATTTGGGAACGCTCTCGTACACTGGCGCTGCAAGCGTTCCTTATTATGGGAACGGCGTACCCAAAGTTGGGAACGATTTCACCGACGCCTTTCAGGGGCTCTTTTCATTAACAAGCATTACGTCCAACGCCGCAAATTATTGTTAACGCAACAATCATCAGATGACCTTTCCGGCAAGACCGTCGCATGTTTCGCCCGGTCTTCTGCGCTTTTATTCCCGTCGATCTCGCAGCGGGCACGCCCCCCTCTGCAGGATTACGTAATTCACAACGCTCAGCGATGTTCAACAAGGTCTTCCATACCTATATCCACCGTCCGCGCCGAGGGTGGAGACATGTCAAGCACCTGTCTGTTTATCACCGATAGTTGATGAGCACAAGGAAGTATCCAAAAATGGGAACGCTGAATATGTTACACCATCAAAACACCTAGTCCCAATGAAAATATAGTTTTTTCCTTTCTTAATGAGTGTAAGTGGCAAAAGGCCTGGTAGGATGGGCACGAGGAATGATCGAAATCAGCATAAAAATTATAAATAAGCCACACAGAGCGACCTATATAAGAGAAATTCCCCCAAAACGACCATGCTTAGAAACACGGAAGACAAAAACCACGCTCATGACGCTCCTTATAAAACAACGCTAAACAGCTAGCATCCAAATAAAATAGTCTTTCCGGGCTGATAAAATACAGCTGAATAATTTTAAACCACTCAAACTGAGTTTACAACAGTAGTTCGGTAAAATCACTGACGTTCCACGCGGTCGTGCGCCCCGACACCAAAAGTCAACAATATTACCTCGGGACTGTCCGCATGTTCGCTTGCATATGTCAGCATCTGGTGTCGCTAGTATGAAACTTCATAACCAGGCGAAAATTATTATACTTGACCTCAAAATTTAAAAAACGCTTCATTTTCCTTAAAATTGCATGTTAAATGTAGTATAACCCATGTTTTCACCATTCCGTCATTTCAAAAAATCATTAAAAATATCATTCCACGGTCAATTTCCTTGTTCGACGGTCAGATTAAAGATAATTTTATAGAGACTTAGTAGATACTTAAATTAGCGTGCACTTTTTTGAAACGTGATGCACTTATGAGTTTTAGTGGGCGAACGGCCGAAAAATTACCTTCCGTTCTCATAAATGGGAACGCCCGTTCCCATATTTGGGAACTCCGTTCCCAAAAATGGGAACGTTCCTATATGTGGGTACTCATGACCATAGTTCCACCTACTGAAATGCCCCACCAGCTAATACCGCCGTCCGTCCTCGCTGCAGGACTGCGGAAGCTGCGCCGACAGAAGACGTCCGAGGCGTTCCTGAACCTGCCGCCCGAGGAGCTGATTGACTCGGAGCCCGAGGAACTGGACGATATCGATAAGGTGATGTCGCCCACTCACCGCTGTGGTACTTCGGAAACCAGCCGATGTGCCTTACTTTATGTTCCCATGTTTATCGCTGTTACGTCATTCTAGAATGAGGAAATGAGAGAACGATAGTGTTTATTGATTGAAGTCTTAAGATTTATAAGTCAGTTACGTCTACCATATATGTATTTCAAGAATCATCTGTGTTTCAAGCTTGTATTATTAAATAAAGTGACTTATCTATGAACGACAAAATAATGTTTATGTTAATAATAAAAGTAACGACTCTCCGGCTCTCGCTAAGCATTAGCTTACAGGCCAGCCCTCCAGAAGGAAGCGGACTGCTATTTGATACCGTCAAGAAGCTTAGTGGGTCCTCCTGCTGTTTTTTTCTTCTGAATGTCTTATTCTGTTTTTTTTTTCTGCCGTCGCTATGTGCACACAGAAAAATATTGACACCGTTAGCGGTGTAATTGCACAGTACATATCTGAGCACTTGAGGAAAGTTAATTTAGTCCCTTCCCCGCCTAAATTACTCGCGCTTCTAAATGAACACCAGGAAGAAGGTAATAGAACACTGTTAGGAGGGTTGGGTGTTTTACTACATGTAGCAAAACACCCAACCCTCCTAACAGTGTTCTATTACCTTCTTCCTGGTGTTCATTTAGAAGCGCGAGTAATTTAAGCGGGGAAGGGACTAAATTAACTTTCCTGAAGTGCTCAGATATGTACTGTGCAATTACACCGCTAACGGTGTTAATATTTTTCTGTGTGTGGCTTGCCCACTTTATATCTATTGTTTTTAAAACACGTTCTATAAATTGTAATTTAGAGTGACGTATCACTGAACTTTTCTGGCGTTCAGGTGCGAGACGACCTCCAGTCGACCCGGCAGCTGCTCGGCGAGGAGGTCAAGAACCGCGAGCGGCTCGTCAAGGAGAACAAGCACATGAAGAACGAGCTGAAGCGGATGCAGGACGAGCTGGACAAGCTGCGCGGCACGGCACAGCCGGACGCCGCTGCCGCGGAGACGGTGCCACCGCCGCAGACAGCCCAGGTTAGAAGTCTATACGAGTACTTAATAGGCCGCCGCTATTCCATTGCAACCTGCATAATATCGTCAGTCGTATTATTCAGTTTGAGACCCACTTGAAAATGGCAGTGTGGTGTTTGTCAAGTTTTTTTTTAATTTACACGTATACTGCGATATTGAAGAAAGCGACTGATATGAACGACGGTGGTGTAATAATAATTCGAATCACAATTTATTGCGTGAATGAATCAGCCATTTATAGCTCGTATCATCATAACACCGACAGCCTTGACTCTGCTTTCATCACTTCATGGCTAACAGCCTACCTTTTCCCGTCAGGACGTGGCGGCTGACGCGGCGGGGGCGGGGGCGGGGGCGGGGGCGGCTGAGGTGAGCGCCGTCCGGGAGGAGTTGGAGGCGGCTCGGCTGGCGGAGGCTCTGTGGGCGGAACGGGCGCGCACCGCCGAGCAGGAGCTGGCCGCCCTGAGAGCCCGTCTGCAGGACGAGGGTCTGCTCAACGGGCCGCCGGAGCCGGAGGAGACCAAACCAGCCGAGTGGGAGAACGAGCAGGTGGTGGTCAAGAGCAAGACCAAGGACAAACTCTCCAAGACCGCCTCCAAGGCCAAGGTCAACAAGAGCGGAGGCGATGGCAAAGAGGCAGAGGAAGCAAAAGAAGGGAAGGATGGCAAGGAAAGCAAAGAGGGCAAAGAGGAGAAGGACGATAAGAAACCGAAGCTGCAGAAGGAGATGAGCAAGCCGTCTGAGGATATTGAGGAATCGTCTGAGGAGGAGCTGTCCTCGGACGACGAGCCGGACAGCGAGGAGGAGAGACGTCGCGAGCTCGACCAGGACAGAAAAAAGAAAATGAGGGACCTGAAAATGTGCAAGAGCAAGGTGTGGCACATCAACACTAAGGAGAAGCACGCCAAAGATGAGAGGATACAGCTGAAGAACCGCATCAAGTCTCTGAACCAGAGCCTGAAGGACGAGAACCGCAAGTACAAGGAGCTGCAGCGCGAGGTCCGTAAGCTGGGCGCCATGATGAAGGGCAGCGACGAGGAGAACTCGGAGGACGAGGAGGAGGACGAGGAGCCGAGCGAGGAGGAGGAGGAGAGCGAGGAGTCCTCCAGCGAGGAGTCCGACACCGAGTCAGATGAGGAGTCCTCGGACGACTCGGAGACGGACGACGAGTCTCTACCACTGGAGGAGCGTGTGCAAAAGATGCAGGAGCGATCCAAGCGCCATGAAAATAACGAAAAGGCCATCAAGAAGGGCAACTACATGCTGAAAACGACTGCTGAGCGGCTGTTCGACAAGCTCAGAAATGAAAAGGAGAAATATAGAGCGTTGGAGAGAGAACTCAACGAGCTTGTCAACGAACTCGGATAGCGTGAGAGGCGGCCTCTGCTCGCATGTGATGAATGGTGTTTGTCACGATAGATATTGGTTGTTGGAAACCACTGATAGATAGGTTTGCTTTAGACCAACACGCAGGCACCTTAACTTGGAACAGAGCGGTCTTACGTGATTGCATATATTTGTACATGCAATGCTTGCAATTTAATTTGCATAGTCCGTTGACGATATTGGGGAAAGGTTACGTCGATGCTTTTGCATAACCGAGCTTTTTTGACGCCTTCGATGCTTTTATGCTGAGGGTGCCTGAGCTATCGATGAATTGTGTGGAGTTCCAGCCATGACCTCAATGTCAGCTGCGAACGAATAAGTATTTCGCCGCTGATCCTAGAGATGAGTGTCGCAAAAGAAGTATTACATTGCACGAAAGAGGTAAGAGTCAAGAGAAGTGCCTAACATTCGTATGTTTGCTATGCTATATAGCGCTAAGCAGCTAAAATTCACATGCTTTATTGCGACCAGAGTTGATGATTTGGGAGAAGGAGCCGTTGTGGTGACATTTTATATTCATCACTATGAAAGTGTACAAGCGTTTGCTATGTTCTTTGTTGCATAATACACGTTTTACTCGATATATAGGTAGTTCGATGAACGCGAACTTTCATTTCCAGTGGGTTTGCAGCACTAAATTGGTAACTCTGTGTACATACATACCACCACAATGCGGGCATATGAAAGGGTATTCGTCATATCTATACCCATGCAGTATCGCATTCGACAAACATGACTGCCTGCGAGAGCAATCGTCGATTGTAAGAGCCTAATCAAGCATCAAAGGAAAAGACGCGCCTATCAAAAGCATCGGATCTATAGCGTCAATTGCCAGATGATTGTCGAAACCCTATCCGCCTTGTCCGTCAACATCCTGGTGATGGAGGTCCAAAATTAACTAGTGGACTGAGATGACGTCACTCTCATCAGCTGTGACAAGTCTGTTGTAACCAACTGACGTCAGATGACGTTAATGCTCGGGCCTGTGAATCGACCGACCTATGGCCCTAAAAACAAACCGACCAATATCCGTCCACGATCCGCGGTCAGATGAAAAGACTGACATGCAGATGGACAAACAGGCAAACGTACAGATGGACTGTGGGCCGAATACAACTCAATTTCCTTCTGGGACTTCCCGATAGGACTGGGGATGGCGCGCGGGGCGATTTTACCAATAATAGTCGACAGTGCGCTCACATTTCTTCGTGTGGCCGGTGATGGAAGACATCCGATCCGCCGCCGATCATCGGATGGGGTCTATCTGGAGACATCCCGGCGAGCGCTGGCATGTCTGTCAGATGGTATCTGCTGCTCAGCTGCGCGACGGCCGCCTAATTTGTGACGCCTCGTGTTCGTGTTTGTGTGTCCGTGTCTGTGTCCGTGACCGTGCCCGTGCCCGTGCCCGTGTCCGTGTCCGTGTCCGTGTCCGTGCCCGTGTCCGTGTCTGTGTCCGTTTCTGTGTCCGTGTTCGTGTCCGTGCCCGTGTCCGTGTCCGTGTCCGCGATCATGTCCGTGTCCCGTCTGTGTCTCTGTGTCCTCTTTGTGTCCATTATCCGCACTCCCCACTGACTGCTGAGCCTGTGCTTGTGTTTCAAACTGTCAATGGCTTCTCTAAACAGTTTCCCGAATCCAGATTTCGTGTTCCTTCCTTAGTCCCCGTGTCCCGTATCCCACAACCGCGTCCCACCTCAGCGTCCCATGTCCCATTTTCTTGTCCCAGCTCTGCGTCCCATGTCCCATCTCCCGTCCCGCCTCCACTGCCCCTCTATCCCATACCGCAGTCCCGGGCCGTCCATCCGTCTCCCGACGATACCGAGATGCGGGGATAGCTGTCTCTGGCCGCGCCGGCGCCGGCGGTGGGCAGGCGTCAGGTGACCCACGGCTGACTGTCCTCTGATTGGGCCAGGTGAGTGACCGCCCCGTGACCCCGCTGACCTCCCAGGAACGGCCCGCAGCCAACGTGATTATGGAAGGCGCCGCGTCACCGCCTGGCGCCTCCGCCCCCCTCCCCCGCCCCTCCCGGCGCCCCCTCCAATCCGGCACACCACCCAACCATCGGCCAAACAACGCTATCAATTCAGCGGTGCGGACGGAGCAGCGTGAGAATAGACCCCACACGGAGAGACACTAATGATCGTACATTATACTCAGTCACCATAAACTCAGGTGTGCTACGAGTCGAGAAACAGCTGTGCTGCGGAGTTAAAAATGCATTGTTTATATTGCCCCGGGGGCGTAATGCATTTTTACGCGTAGGTATTTTATTGATTCAGTCACATGCGTCGGTATAGAAGTCTTTTACATAACATAACATAACATGTATTCCATGTAACAGCAGGCCACTTGGGCCCAACGAGGTTACAGGTAGATGAACAAACACTGTATGTAAAACACGGTACAATTACACCATTTCATCGAACACTAGCCCAGCCCACGCTGTTTATAATACAAGTCTAACTCATTTTTAAAATTACTTAAGTAAACGTCTATACTTTGATATAGTAAACGTCTTCAGCGGGATATGAAATTATGCAGTTCTTTAGATACAATAAAAAACACATCAAAGGAAAAACTTGCAGCGAATGTGTAATAAAATTTATAACACTCCATAAAATCAATGCAATTAAAAAGTGGGTTAACTTTCCTATAAAAAATTCATAACTATAAAACATACATTACTTACATAACTTACAGTTTCTATTCCATACTCAGAAACGACTACATTCGAGCACTGCGGGCCGGGAGCTAGGCATAGGCAAATACCCCAGAGGTCCGTTGGGATCCGTAAGTGGCTTCAATGTCCTAATTCCGCGATGGCGAAGTCCAACTAGTTGGAAGAAAATATATATTAGCGGTTTTCAACGACGGCCATCTGGTACCATTTGGGACACATGTCGTCAGATTTGGTGCAGATTTGGTCAAATTAGGTTCAGGATGATTCTTCGTAACTATTAGCTTGGGTTGCGCCAATTGCTTTTTAATTGCTTATACATGTGTATGGGTGTATGCATGCCTTCTTTGTCATGCTATCAGACATAATCATAGACTAAAACACTGAAATAAATTCGTGATATGAGGATATTTATTGTAAAAGAGAGTTGGTGCAGATTTGGTCAAATTAGGTGCATTCACCACATACCTATCCCGTCGTGAAAACGGCTATTGTATCCCCATGATTCAGTCGATACTGTCCGATGATTCAGACTATGATACTCACTTCATGGATATAAGTATGTTTGCAACTGAATATTCAATACGTCCATTCTTCCACTCCAAAACGTAGCACTGGAATCCTTGAACATAAACACTAAACAACACTGAAACGGCAACCAAACAATACGGAGGGTACGGCCAGGCTAACTAGCGACAGAAGAGAAAAGGAAATGAATCACATGAAATTTACATCGATTTCCTGTTCGTCGCGAGTTGACAGATATTTGGAAAACTCGTGGCCTACCACAAGGCTGAGCGCAGCACGAGTCCGCTGGATCACCACTATAGGGGTGAGCTAGTGGCGCTGCCAGCCGCGGCGCGCTGTCCCGAGGTCACGGTCCTGACCCCGAAACGACCTGTGTGACATTGGCAGTGGAGGCGGAGGTTCAGGTGTCAGCGCCAGATGAGCGCCTCCCTCCCCAGGCGATCGCACGGCCCTCCACGCACACGCGCATACGCACTGCCGAGTGGTGAAAGTGACAGACCAACACGTGACCCTGTGCCGAGTACACCGGCGTGGTCACGTGACCGAGTACAGGTCGGAGCATCTGCCGGTATAAATGGTATGCGGACGCGTTTAGGTTTTCAGTTGTTGTGGAGGAAAATGTGTGAGAAGATGTGGAGGTGCCTTATCCTGATTGGTAAGTGTGGAGCTTGCAAATCGATAGTTTGTGCCGTGTTGCACTGAAATTTCAAAAAAAAAATCTCCTAAAAACATCAAACTTTAAAAAAACGACAAAAGAGTTAAAATAAAACGACAGACAGTTAATGTTGTAACAAAATAAGGTCCTTTAATTTCTAATACATTTTAAATTTTACTTATCATAAAATGTTCAAAACAACTGATGTTTCGAAGCTCTTTACCTTACCTCTAAATAGGTATAATGAATGTAAATTATCTGCTCATGACGAGAGTCTTACACTCGGCGCACGTTTTTTCGTCAGTGCTGGCCACTCCCGGTCTGGCCATGGAGTACAAATACCCTCCGCCAGAGCAGCCGCTGGTCCTGCCGACCCCTCCGCTCCCGGGCAGCGTCGAACAGACACCGGCACCAACTGAGGGGCCGCCAGCAGCCACTGGGGGATCTTCGGCACCCACAGAGGGCCCGCCAGCACCCAGTGAGGGACCTTCCGCACCCACAGAGGGACCTTCACCACCCTCTGAGGGACCTTCAGCACCCAGTGAGGGCCTGCCAGCACCCAGTGGAAGTGGACCCACCCCGACTGGGGGACAGACGTCCCCAACAGAGGAGCAGTCGACTCCTACCGAGGCCACAAAGTACCAGTACCCGCGACCGGACCAGCCGCTGGTCCTACCGAGTCCAACGCGACCGGACGACGCCGAGGGTCCTGGTACTGAGGGGCTGACAGCAGCCACGGAAGGAGGTCCAGGGGAGACTGGGGTGCAGCCGTCACCAGCTGAGGGGCAACCGACAGCCAGCGAGGGACAGTCAACAGACACTGAAAACGTCCCTTCCCCGACTGGCCCTCTTTCCCCGACCCCGGCCGGCCCTCCAGCCCCATCTGGTCCCGAAGCCCCAACCAACTCTAACGCTCCCGCAAACCCGCAGGCTCCTTCGCCCAGCGATCCGAAGCTGCCCTCCCCCGGCGACGCCTCCCCGATGCCCCCGGTCGAATCGATAACCCCACCTCCAGTCGGGCCCGACTCGAGCAGCAAGCCCACGTCATCGGGGAACACCGAGCGACCTCCGCTGGATTCCGGGGACCAGGAAGGCCCGCAGGTCAGTCTGACGGAGATGCGATGGCTCGTCGCGGCTTCGTTAGTAGCTGCCAGACACTGTCACAACAGAAGCGTTATAATGAGCAGCAGCTGTCCATGGAAGTATGATATTCTTAATTAAAGAAATGGGTCGGTGCTGCAGTATTGTTTACAAATTGTGAAGAGCGTGTTCATGTTTTGCGAAACGGTATGCTTAGAATCGGGTAGTCAAAAAGTAAATAATGATACAAAAGAGTCACGCTTAGCCTACAAGGGCTAGTGTGAGTCACGCAACATATGCACTTAACGTGTCTGCCTAACCCTCACCGCTGTGCGTCCCCCCCCCCCCAGTCGCCGTCGCCGCCGAGCGGGGGTGACCCCGGCACAGAGCACGGCCACCACGGCGGTTCAACGGACCCCCTCCAGTGGCTGAGGGAGGCCGTGCCGGGGGAGCCCGGCGTCGACTACCCCATCTTCAGTGCCGTGCCGCCCACCGCCTTCAGCTGTGACGACAGAACAGCAGGTGGGACGGGAGTGTGTGGTGGGGTGTGGGGATGTGTGGGGGCTGTGGAGCTGTGTAATAGGCTGTGGGGGCTGCGGGTATATGTGTGAAAGGGAGGCTATGGGGGGGGGGGGAGGGATCCATTGCAGACTGGAAATTGGCTCGGGTAGGCTTTCGTTCGCTAATCATCTTTGTTCCGGGTATAAGTCTCGTCTTCCAAAGGTAGGGGAGACCCGGGAGGTATGGGCCGGTTTTGTGAAAAGGCAATTTTCTTCCAGAGGGCGGTGGCTAGACCCGGTTTTTCACTCTGTGTACGTGAAATTGCCTTTCGCCTGCAAAGTGTGCCTGATATTAGGCATCTGGGATCACCTATTTTGTCTCGAGATAACTTTAAATAAATCATGCGCTTTTTCGATCCATCAAAATACACCGGGAGGTATGGGCCATGGTCCGGGAGGTATGCGCCGGTGCCATGTTTCATATTCTTTTCTCGACAATGAGAAAAATACTCGTAGCTGGTATCTACCCTGATCTCTCTAGAGTCCAGGAACCGCATAAGCGATCAACAGCTTACTTCATGGGGGTCACGTGGGCACATATGCATTTTGGTTAACTCAATAATGCTCCGTGAAATAAGATAAATAATATTTTTTTGTTCGAATGAAATTTGTAGTTAAATTTTCGACCTTGCGCGACAAAAATAAAACTTATTGAAGCGGACATTCAATGAAAGCATCATTTTATTGACTTAGGATCAACGGGGGGTGGGTGGCCCGAACCTCCCGGTTAGGACGCCATAATGTGCGTAGCATCTCAGCTCATAATCTTGCAAGAAAGCTTCCAATTGTCTATCCAGTCTTAATTTCCATGTTTTAAACTTTATATTAGCGATAGTCTGACATCATAAAATGAGCCTGGTTCAAATTTATCACGAATTTTCTGTATGTACCGTATTTTACTCCAAGAGGGCAAAAACGCTTTATCACCGCTCATTGCCAAAGAAGACTGAGGAAGATTTTGGAAATCACGTGGGTTGTATAACGGAATGGCTGCTACCAGTTTACGCGGTCAAATGTGTAAAAATACGCAACACTTCTTCAAAACTGCGATGGCACATACCTCCAGGGGGCCCATACCTCCCGGGTCTCCCCTACAAGTCTTCAAGCTCTAAATAAACATACATGGTGGTGATGTTGCTGTGAGAGGATTTTCTAATAGGTCAAAACACCGACAACGGCAATTAAAGCGATAGAACCGTTACCAAAGTATGCGATAATTGAGCTTATTATTTGTCCATAATTTGATCAATTCCTAATACCATGCCATTACCAGCGCAGTTCCTTCATTCCTATTCCCATTCCTATTCCCATTCACAAACATCGCAAAGATATATTTGTGTGCCAAGTTGTAGTCCTGAGCATTCGCCCACTGACTGACGTTCCTCCGACAGGCTACTACGCTGACGTGGAGGCGCGCTGCCAGTCGTTCCACGTGTGCAGCCCCCCGTCCGGTGGAGTCTCCTCCAAGCACTCCTTCCTCTGTCCGAACGGGACGGTGTTCAACCAGCGCGGCTTCGCCTGCCAGTGGTGGCATGATGTTGACTGTGAGTCGTCTGAGGAGTTCTACGACAAGAACGAGGCCATTGGAGTGGTGCCGGAACGGCCTGCCGGGCCGCCAGCGCCGGCGTCATCGACGTCATCGGCACCGTCATCGACGTCATCACCGGCGTCATCTGGATCGGCACCGTCACCGCCATCTCCGATGTCACCACCGCCATCGGCGTCAATGGAGACGGAACAGTCAGCTCAGCCGCCGAGGACCCCGGCGGAAATGTCATCAGTTGTGCAGCAGCCTTCAGTGCCATCGGAAACTTTGGGGGAGACGGAGCCAGCGGAGTCGGCAGAAACTTCACAAACAGCACAGCCAGCACAGCCAGCAGAGTCCGCACAGCCACCTCAGACGGCACAAACGGCACAGCCAGCACAGCCTGCTCCACCAGCACAGCCAGCAGAGTCCGCACAGCCACCTCAGACGGCACAAACGGCACAGACGGCACAGCCACCTCAAACGGCACAAACGGCACAGCCAGCACAACCTGCTCAACCAGCACAGCCAGCACAGCCAGCAGAGTCCGCACAGCCACCTCAGACGGCACAAACGGCACAGCCAGCACAGCCAGCAGAGTCCGCACAGCCACCTCAGACGGCACAAACGGCACAGCCAGCACAGCCAGCAGAGTCCGCACAGCCACCTCAGACAGCACAAACGGCACAGACGGCACAGCCTGCTCCACCAGCACAGCCTGCACAGTCAGCACAGCAGCCTCAGACTATACCAGACCAGTACATACCTCCGCCCCAAACGCCCCCTGTTGTAGCCCCGTCCGGTCTGTACGGCCTGCCCGAGAACTAGAAATGATAAATTGTGCCATTTTCACTTTTGACAGAGCCATAGTTATGCTGATATCGGATCACAATGGTTTTGATAGAATTGCGTTTTGCGATTTATCGATAATTACGTGTGGAGGACGCAGTAGATAGCCAAGTTTTGTTCGAAGAAGGGCATTATGTCAACCTCTTTTATGGCATTATATCGCGGTGCTCAACCATATTTAAGTCCACATGAAATGTTTGCATCGAATATACATCCGTGTACCTTCATAGTTTAACTATGTACCTGTCTTCTCCAACCCCTAAAAAATCAAGAAGCGATCATGACAGAAAGCGAAAAAGTGTTACATTGTGTGGCATGGGTACTTCATACCAGATTTATACCTATTTTATTGTGGCATGTCAATACAAATAAATGTAAAGGCAAGATTTTTTTATAACCGGTACCTAATAATGTAATAATGCGCCTAACTATGTGGTGAGATGATTGTTGGCAAACGGCAGATATTCCTACGAATGCAGTAAATGCTTCATTTTTATCAATTTAGTAGATATTGGAGGATAATACAAGCACGTTTAATGGATAAATTTACGTAAGCTGTTTAACTCATTAAACCGACAACTTAGCCAGATAGCCGTAAGAAGGTATTGGGTATATGTGCATTTTTTAGCAAACTTTCGGTTCGAGTCAATATAACAGCGTCAGCAAAGGCCGAGCACATTTTTTTTTTTACAAAGATGTTAAAACGATAGCTACATGGGGCGGCGTCACCCCTCAAAGTTAGGTCACCAGTCGGCGGAAGCCACCGTCCCTCTCATGTGCAGTAACCCGTTCCGTACTCAGCACTCAGTTGTGACCCGCCCGGGACGGCCAGTGCGTCTCTGCGTTACCATGGCTGCCACGGAGAGCACGTTGGTCCGAGGGAGGGACTCTATCAGGACGGACAGTGTGGTAGTCAGTCGGAGAGAGGCCACCACACCCGTCGGCCGACTCGGTCCCGCAGCTGCTCAGTTCGACTGGGAGCGCTAACTGAGGATACACAACAGCAGGAAGTCGAGAGAGCTGCAACAGGCAGTCATTGGTCTTACGACAGCACACTTGCAGCTGCCAGAATTTGGCATCGGCAGATTAGCTTCAACTCTTAACTATTTGGCGCAACGACCAGCTATCCAGGACCGATCCTGCTGTTCCCTCTGGCATCAATAGTACTGCAACATCTAGCAGCTGACACTTGACTAGCAACCAGTACATATTTTCAAAGAGTATGCTGTAAGAACTCAACGTAAGCTCATTTCTACGTCATCACTTGGCCGTCTATCCTACCGACAAAGCATAGGAAGAGACTTGTCTCAAACTGTCCTGCACGTCTTTAGCACGGATGTCGGCGGCGGCAGAGGCGGGGCTCGGCCTGGTGGTCTCTGTCAGCTCGCTGGTGCCGGTGGTCATCATCGCCCGCCGCCGGCAGCTGCGCGCCTCCTCCATGTACCAGGTGCTGGCCAGTATGGCCGTCGCCGAGACAGTGGTGGGCGCCCTCTCGGCCACCATTGGCTCGCTGAAGCTGCTGGACGCGCTGCCGCCCGCCTGGCTGTGCGTGGTGGGCGTGTTCTTGCGCTCGTCCACCGCTACATCGACGGTGGTCTGTTTCCTGGCGCTGAGCGTGGAGCGATACGTGACCGTGGTGCACGGTCTGCGCTACTTTGTCCTGATGACGGACACAAGACGCCGTATTCTGCTGGCTGCTCAGTGGATCTGCACGGCGCTCTTCTTCCTGTTCGGCGTGTCGCTGCGGCTGGCGCTCGGCGTGGGCTCGTCAGCGCAGATGTGCGACCATTGGTTCAGCATTCCGCCGGCGTACCGACTCACCACATCCGCATTCGTCATGGTCACCTACACGACCAGCATGGTCATCAACGTGCTGATCGGCTGGGCGGGCGTGCGGCAGGGCCGGCGGATCCAGCAGCAGGCGGACAGCGTGCTGCGCAGGGCCAACTCGGCGCGACTGTTCCGCCACCGCGGCTACTACGTCCTCCTGGTGATGTCGCTGATGTTTCTCGTCCTGATCGTCCCGAACGTGGTGGTGAACGTGCTGCAGGCCACCGGGCTGGCACGGCTTGACACCGCTCACCGGGTCACCACCTTCATGAGGCTGTTTAGCATGATCACCGACGGCTGGGTGCTCGCGCTACTCTGTCCCAAGATGAAGGTGGAGCCGGTGACGGCCGCACAGCGACAGATCCCGGTGCTGCCCAGCAAGGAACCCCGCCGCTACGTCCTGGCGTCACGCATGACGAACATCATCCGCAGCACGGCGGAAACCACCGGGCACGCCGACCCGCTCATCCTGAAGGTGCGGCTCTCAGAGAGGAGCCTGACCAGCTCCGGCCGCATGCCCGATGTGGAAATATAAGCCATAGAATTGCAGTTTCGTATAGCTTTTGTGGCTAGCAGTAAATCACCATTCTCGCTCGCGTTTACGCTCGGATGCCTACGTGTCGCTACGTTTGCAGTTGATTTTGGGAAGAACGTGTTTTAGTTGTGAAGTTACACTCCAAGCCTGTGCTCACAGGTCTGGTGTATGGTGCGTTGAATGTGATATACAAAGTCGCTACTGTTTCATTATTAGAGGATAGTTGCTTTCGCTTGCTCACCTGCTTTCATTGTTGCAGATAAAATACAAATTTATCGATTATTCTGTCGTTGATGCTATACCAAAACTCATCAATGGGGCAAAAATTCTGCTGAGAAAAGCGCAGCAAAGTCGATGATTCTTCTCTCAGTCTGACGTAGCTCACCAGCCACGCGCCACTGACCAAGTTGACAAAAAATAATACAACTGAACGGGTGTGACGTCAAGCGGGAAGTGCTCGCTCCTCCTGCTATTCAACGTCTATCTGCGCTTGTCCCGGATCACCAGTTCTCTCCGAGTTGGATCTCTTGACACGGTCTTGGCCTGTCATTTCTGATTGCGACGCGCTCGGCATGATATATGTGGCAGCTCATGTTGCACATATGCCGCGGTCGAGTTACGCCGAAGCGACGCGCGACGTGGCGGTGACGCATTTGACAGCGCCGGTCATTGCCAACAGAGTACGGACGGATGCATCCGAGCGATCCTGATGTGTCTAAACCGCGTGGGATGGGTGTGTGGACAACACCAATCGGTCGACAATAGACATGTCAGCTCCAGGCATTTTCACTTGAGTGGTACGGTACCGACATCGCGGGGACGACGGTGATCAACCGAGCTCCACGATAGACATTAATTAAACGATGGAACCATGACGGGTCAGCTCGAGCGTACACAATTCACGGGATATCAGGGAAAGCTCAACTGCTTCGTGCATACCGCCAAACTAGGGGAACTCTGGACCAATCAATACCTATGCTTATTTATTGCTGGTCAATTGACGACTCTGGGATAAGTCCTTCTAATAACCTACATGATTGGTCCAGGTATAACTAGTATACCAAAATGGCGCTTCTAGTTAGAAACAAAACAGAGAGTCGATGATGCATGCTACTGTCGTAATGCAGTTGTATTCAGTAATATTCACCTTGGCAGTAATTGATCCCGATTCGCGATTGACCGGAACAGATGGCTGGTGACAGGACAGACGCTCTGGAGGTATTTGAGGCAAGCATACGCTATAGCGAGAAAACATAAGAGCGCTTTTTCTTTCTTTTTTCGAGCAGGATACGAAGCAAGTCAAGGAGTCCTTAGACAATAATTCCCTCCTCGAAGATAAAGTGTAAGAGCTCATTACCTTCTCGTTCAGCTCTCATTTAGTCGTGCATCGCTGCAATTATCAGAAACTCCAATGCATTGCGCAATGCACAATGCACATGCACACTTCATAGGAAAAAAATCCCGAGTCGTCGACCCAATTTGATATTAATTGGTCACCACTTATGGAGCTGAGACTTGGGAATCGTATTATATGCACATTGCATAAACAAAGAAAATTACAACTGATTATGTGTAGTCAGTGGCGCAGCCAGGATTTCGTTTCGGGGGGGGGGGGTCATCGCCTCCAAAGCGGGCCCCCTAGTGTGCGGGCCCCCACTCATTTTTCAGAATCTCTCCATATTTCATACACATTCTGCTGAGCGGGCCCTCTTTACCTGCACGATAACCCTGAGCGAGTATGAATCAGAAAATTTGGATAGAACAATAGCTCGATAATCACCCGGTGCTCAATTTTTACGCAAATTGACCACAACAGAAATATGTTACTATGACGTATGAATTCGTATCTTTCGAGGCCGAAAAGTGCCCCTTCCGCAATATGCATAGCATATATGCAATCGGAACTGTTGCCTGCTTCTGTCGGACAAGATTTAAGTATAGGCTCATGTGCCTGTCCTAAGCCATCTATTGGCTGCTGTAGGGGAAGCGGGGGTAACACCGCCACTGTGGGAAACACCGCCACCCCATCTGGCGGCGAAAGTATGAAATGTGAAGTGTAAAAATCCGTTATTTCCTATTAACCGCACGAAGGTAAGCGTCTTCTGATTTGTGTTCCGGTGTTTCAGTGTAATCGAAGCTCAATGTGGGCATTTAAAGAAAAATGCACATTCTCTTATAAAAATTCGATGAGTTGGGAGCACTTTTAAATGTCTTTAAGTAGAGACTCATTTTGATTTACTTGATTACATCAAAAAATAACTGATCGGCTTTGTCCAGTAAGATAGGTTTGCTTGAACCGTGTAGTACATTCTTGCCGCTGGCGATTTTTGCTTGTGATCACTTATTGGGGAACACCGCCACCCCGTGGCGGTGTTACCCCAATTGAGGTTGCGGTGTTTCCTGTTTGTAGCGTGATAAGTGATGAAACTCCAAAGACACGCTTCATTTATGTTCGTAGATGATCCTAAGTCGGGAAAAAGCAACTTATTTGATTTTTTACTTAATATTTTTCATGCATCCCGACCAAGCACTTGCCAGCTGTATAAAACTGGCAAACAGCTGATGAACCTATACCTATTTAGGTGTCCATTACCGATTATTTGCGAAAATTACCACTTACGGACAGGAAACTCATCGCACGCGATCTTTGAACAATTAAAAGCTTTCGTAGGAATGGGTTGGGTTAACATCAACAGTCAACACCGGTGGCGGGGTTACCCACACAATTTGTAGGCAGCAAATACCTATGCAAGGTATTTTTAAAAGTCGTGATACATGAAAACCTTTTAGGAGCATGCAAAATAAGTACCTAAAACACGTGAGAAAATGTTTAAATATTGTAACCAAGACAATAACTACCAAGAGACTTCACACATATTCTCTCATTATGGCGAAAAGCTTAGGGGGGCGGTGTTACCCCCGCTTCCCCTAGTATCTAGATTACGCCATTATTCTTCTTCATTACGTGAATTCGCTCACAAAAAGTTTTAACCCTCGCCGGCACAGGGGGGAGGGGTTG